AACTAAGATGATCTTTAACGAATTTGCTATCAGTTTTAAATTTTCGACGAATTGCTGAATTTAAGATTCCAAGCAATACCTTTTCGATATCTTTTGCTGTAATAGAATTGATATTGATATTTTGTTCTGTCATAATAAATGTATCATTTTTTTGTTTATTATATAACCATGCTTTTTTCTAAATTGAAATTTGTTATATTTAATGAATAATTAATTAATTAATAATATATATCAATACTACTCTATATTTGCCGATACCTTCACAATAATGGTTCTTTATATAACAGACGTTGTCACAGAGCTGAAGGCTGTTGGGAGCATTATTTGTCAAATTTTCGTGAACCCTGTCTTGTATGTGGTAAGCCTACTGGTGCCAAACCTGGGCTATGTAAAAAACATGCTGGTAGCTATTATACATTGAAACACTATCATAAAATTCATTCTAGCTAAAAGAAAAGGCATATACAGTTACCTATATTTTTCTTTTTTTTTCTTGTGTAATTCAACCATAAGGAGGTGGGTTTCTGAGCATTAGAAAGCAATATGCTAACTAGATACTCTGCTATGCTCTGCAACTACGTTGCACACACCTAAGGATATATGCTCCTTAGTTATAGAAAGCTAAATTGTTGTTAAAATAGATAACTATACTTCGCTACGCTTCGCATACGGAGTCACTATGCTTCTTCGTGACAGAAAACTAAATAGTAATAAAAAGGATTCAATAATCGGGTTAATATTACTTGCCTCGTCTTCAGTTAATGGATTGCGTTTTCGAGCAGTGAGACGTGTCCATGCTTCATTGACAATCGATGGAGGTAATTGGGCAATAAGATTTGAGCAATCTTTATGGAATGGCGTTCCACAGAATAATTCAGTTACATATTTCCATGAAAAAATTCCAAATACAAAATAAATGTTTTATAATGAATTCATTGGAAAATCATATGTATTTTTTAGCATTTATTATTTTAGGAACTCCCTGAACGAAGTTCAGGTCATGTGACTATGGCGCAGTATTTACTTCAAACTATTTATTACATAGTCAATATTATCCCAAGTTA